ATTCAGAAGGCTTTATATTGACATTTCTTATCTCCCCAAACTAAATTGCTGTCTTGATACAGTCACGATTAGTAGAAATAGTGAAATGGGGAAAATGCATTCCTACTTTTTAGAAGTCAAACATGTTCATGGACTTTGAATCACAATGAAGGTCTCTCAAAGCTTGATTATTATCATATTTTAAGTAAATAATTGATGAAATGCCATATCGTAACTTGAAACTAGTACAGAATTGCAATCTGTAGATCCACCTGAAGATGATGTTTTAAGTTATGTATGTTACCAGTACAACTTACTGGTACATTTTGCCCTTCAGAGCATCACTTAAATATTTTTTTTTTAATTAGAACAAATTAAATTCCCTTATCATTAGACAGAAGTAAGAAATTCAAGAACCAGTGTAAACAAAAAAGTGTTAACAGCATTTTACAATTAATCAAGGGAGGCATTTTGGCACCTCATTTTTAAAAAAGAAGCAAAGGTGTGAAAAATGACAAGTGCCTGATATTTATCCATATACTATGTATCCATAAATCGTGAGCTAGGTACTATTCTAGCACAAATTTATCTTTTTAGCAAATAGTCTTTGAGCACCTATTTTTTGCTAGACCTCTGACAGGCCCTTGGGAGACACAATACAGTTTCAACTAAAGTCAGAAAAAAAACAGTGAAATGTGAAATCCTGTAAATCATCCAAAAAAGTACAACATACATGGTTTTATGTATAAAACTCAACCCAGTAATTACTTCTCTCAATGAAATTGAACTAGTTCAAAGGGGAGAATGTGATAATAAAATATAGGCAAGTGCCTGACTATTTAAAACATTAAAGGAGCATGGGCAAAGCATTTTAAATTTTCCTTCTTGCTCATAGCACTTATTCTGTTTTATAGTTAAATCTCAAGAGTGTTAGTGCATGATAATAAATTTGTCTTGTTTTTATTTTGAAGTTTCAACTTGGCAGAAGTATCTTATTTGGGAGGAGGAAACAAAGTCAGAGGGATGAATATACTCATACTGGATTCCATCCTGAAGCCATTTATTATTGCTCAAAATAACGGTCAGCTGGATAATGTTGATGGTTTCAGCTGGGTTCAATTATTTGATTGCAATTAGCTGTGAGTAAGGAAGGCAATTGCGTTGATCTCTACTGAGTGCTCTCACATGATTGAGGTCAACAGGTCTAAGATGAACTCACATGGAAAACCTGGGTGTCCTCATCCTTCACATGACCACGACAAGGTTCTGACAGATTGGGAAGGAAATTCTTACATCAACCAAGTTCTATCCACTAGAGCAGTCAGAAGGAAAGTGTCACATGACAGTGAATGGGAATTATCAAGATACACAGCAAATTATGTGAATATAGGGTCACCATTAATGGAAATCATCAATGCAATCAATTGGACACACCCCTAAACAGGCAAGCACCATTGATCCTGAGTCATCAAGTACACATGTACCAAAGTTTGCAAAAGTACTAAATTTTCTTAGAGTACACAGAGTGCTTACTGGACTAACTTATTTTAAAGGTTTATATTTTTTTTCTTCTGAGATGTTATATGTTTGTTACCTCTACTCTGTTGAAGAGCTAGTTTGTTCTGCCCTTAAAAAATGCTTGCTTGTTTTTCTTTCCTTTTTTGTTTTATACTATGAGTCTCTGCCTAAAAGTTCTATATAATTTCTGTGTAAAACAAACAACAGTAAAACAGTCATACTTTTCAAGAAAGAAGAATGCCATCTGAGCAATGGAGGATAATTATAAGATCATGAGAATAAACTATAAGGTACTAGGGCCAATTTATCTAGGGCTAGAGATAATTACTCACTACCAAGTCAAGAAAGAGGTTGAAGAACTGACATTGTCACTTCATAGAAGATCCCACAGAGACTTTATTAAAAGCTAAGCAACAGAAAACCAGGTATCACCTTGAAGAATTTTCACAGTACCCTACAGGATTGCATTTTTTGACTCAAGCACTTTTTTGATCTAGGAAGGGAATTTTACCTTGTGAAAATCCCTACTATGTCATTCATTACCTTACAAATTGTAAGACCGCACACCACATGAACTCAGTATCCATATACTTGCTTGACATTGAAGCAGGACAAATACTTCTTGACATAACCACATAAAACAAGCCAGAAGGAATAACTAGTAGTAGTGTTTTCTTCTCTGAGAACAATTTTATGACTATCCAATCAAATGGTTAATATAAAATCCCTTTTAGATGAATAAAATGTCATATGTATAGCACTGCACCTTTTTTTTCACTTAAAAATATCTTGGAGATAGTTAACTCATTACGTATAGAATGCTTCATTTATTCAAATAACTACCTAATAACACATTTTGTGAATGCATCATAATTTATTTTGTTATATTACTAATCACTATTGGTGCATATTTTGGATAAAATAACAGTTTAAACACGTAGAAGCCAATGTTCATGACTATGAGTTTCCCTTGAAGCACAATCCTGGATTAGCATCTCCCACATAATGAGTAAGCCCTATTCTTCTTAAGCTAAAAGAAAGTCCCTAAAAATTTAAGGCAAACAAAACCATACTTTTATAATTGGCCTTTCAAACATATTTTTCACCTTCTTATCTCCTCATATTTCCTTACATCCTTCACTGAAATCCATCCCTTCTTAATTTTCACCAGTTGTCAGTATTCTTCTTGTTAAAATTCAACTGTCTAGGGGAAAAGTGAATGCCTGTTTCCGACATAAATATGAAGAACAGAGATCCTTACTGATATTCATGGAAAGTGAAATGTTGAACAAAATAAAGCATTCATGTTATACCATTGAGATTGGAGGGTGCTAGTTACAGCAACATAACAGAATTATCTTGAAAGATAATAGAGCCTAAAAAGGCAATACTGTTGACCCTTGGACAAGCAGGGGTTGGGGTGCTGACTCCCCGCTCCCAGTAAAAAATTTGTATATAACTGTATAATATTTGACTTTTAAGTAAGAGTCTACTGTTTACTGGAAACCTTATCAATAACATGGTTAATTGACAAATATTCCGCATGTTATATGTACTATATGCCATATTCTTAGAAGACAGTAACCTAGAGTAAAGGAAATATCAGTCTAATAGGATAAAATCTCCTGTAAGTTTTAAAATGTTGAAATCTGCACAGATTATCTTTTATTAAAAAATGAAATGTATATATCCAAAAAAAAATTCAACTGTCAAATTCCATTTCCTTCTCTAAGATTTCCACCATGACCCCCATAACCACAGAGCAGGAGGTGATATTATTTTCCATCAATTTACTTTAGAGTCATATTTGTAACATTGTGTCATCTTGCATTATAGTTATATAAGTATTTGTACACGCCCATCTCTTTTGCCAGATTGCAGGCATGTTGACAGTCATGATATATAAAATATAGGCTGTCCTTCACAAGATTATCAGAAAGTCTTGCATATATTGTACTTAATAATATGTGTTGCATGAACATATCCTAAAGGTGTGATTCTATTGAATTCTGTTAAATTATCATAGTACACTGAATTATATAAGTCAGTAAATATGAGATCTATCCCTGGCTCTAAAGTTATTAGTAGGTATATATTGAATGAATTATTTAAACTCTTAAAGACTTTTTTAAAAAAAAAATATATCTAAATCGTGTATATCATTGACTTGGGAAGATTGAGTGAAATTGTCATTTTATAAAAAACAAACAAAAACACCTCAGTTTTAGGGGAAAAAAACCCCGCAAAGGAAACAAATTTAAAGGTCTCCAGCTCCAAACACCCGTCCATTGCTCCATATATTAACATCCCTCTAAATCAACTATCAACTTATATATTAAAATGTCTAGAGATAGAGATGTCTTAATCCATATAGAAGCTCATTTTATGTTTGTAAAACTTTGACTATTATTGAGTGTACATACAGTGAAATTTATATTATTCCACTTAAAAATAAAATTTTTGCTATATCTGATTGGTGGATGGCTCCCAACCTCTGTAGTGGGGTAAAGTACAGGACTGGATCCCCACATAGTACAGGACTGGACTGGATCCTTTGAAACACATTGATATGTTATTGTAGAATTTAAAAAATCTTAACAAATACAATATTTCAACGATTTTTTGAAGGGTTTTGTATGTTTTTCAGTTTTCCATAGAACTTAATACATGTATTTTATTTTCCTTGTGTTGTGTAACAAGTGAGTATCACTCTTTGGGTCATAACCTGTGTAGGTCAAACCAAACATATCTCAAACTGCCTTGTTCAAGAATTAACAAATAATGAACACAAAATAAATTTTAAATGCCATAAATAATAAAGGACTACTTATTATTAACTATTATAACACAACAGTCAGATTTTTCCTTCCTCATATTCTTTGAGCATAAAGATGCAATAAATTCTGAAGTAAACATGTTAAATTATTAGGAATTATACTTTCCAACTATACTGTACACAAGGGTAAAATTAATTTATTCTTATCTTCATTTCAGATTTCGTTATGCACTCTATTGAAAAGTAATTGTAAGATTAAACTGTTGACAATTCTTTAAAACAGCATAACTTGACAAGAACTGGCTACCTTCAGTCTTATATATATTTACATACACCTCTGTTTAACTGTCAGAAACAATATACTACTGGAGTAACCTTAATGAGAGATGTTCAATGAAGAGCTCATAACTTAAAAATCTCTAGTACCAAATACCAAAAAGCATCTTTACAGCAGAAGTACATCATAGCAGAAGTATAGTATAGAATAATGCAATATGTAATACAAAGCAATCCTGTTGTTCCAAATGATGACTAAATAAACCCTCATATTAGCTTAAATCTATGTGTGTCTATATATTTGACACCCAGTCCCTTCTTATAGTACTGGTATAACTGGGGTAATTCAAAATACCTAAAATAATTAGGAATAGCTTATTCTTCCAAAATCTGAAATGTTAACTGTTAAGTACATAATAAGACATACTCAAAGGTTATAAAGAAAACTTACCTTCTGTGTGCACAGCTGACACATAAGTCCAGTTGTATCTTTTCACTATGTCCACCATGGCTCGTGCCTGCTGGGCATCTGAAGGCACCACCCTCATGAAGTACTTGAACAGAGTCTTGTCACTCAGATCCATGCTGGTTGCTGAGTAAGCAATCTGAGGTATGTTGAAAAGTTGGAGCAAGTTCTGAACCTGAATGGCCACAGAACTGGAGCCAGGGCCGATGACCCCTACTATGGGCTTCTTGGAGCGGAAGGAAGAGGAAGAGCCATCCACACAGCGTACCAAGCCCTCTTCCTCTTCTGAAGAAATGAGGGAATCCCTTATGAACTCAATGCTCTGCTCTAGAGCCACAGCTGAATGCCAGCAGGAATCCCTTATCTCACAGCCCAGTGTGATGTTGGGCAAGAGAGTGGGGTCTGAATTGATCCTTTCCAGGGTATGCAGCATGGCCTCCACTCTTTGAATGCCATACTGTTCACGGACTGCCCCACATTTCCTCTCATGAACTTTGTCCACAGTAGGCTGGTGATGGACAGAAAAGAGAGCTCCGATAATGATATCACCCGGCATGTGAGCCACCACCCTCCTCTCACTGGACTGTGCACTCCCACGGACATCTTCTTTCAAAAGCAGGACTGACAGGATCAACAGAAGGACCATTTTAGGGAAGGAGTTCAAGCTAATAAAGACAGCATGGTGGGAAAAATTCCAGAGAGTTTTGATAGATATAATCAAACAATGTCTTATGTTGAGTGGCAAACCAAAGAATTAGCCAGCATTTTAGATGTGTTCTCTAAAGAACCACCATGTCCCCAGGTACCATTTAGCTAGATGCATCCATGTGGTCATGATCTTCAATATCTGGAAAAAAAAAAATAGTATGAGTCTTTATCAAATGTAAGTGCAGCTATTTTGGAGAAGTTCAAATGGTTTATGCTAGCAGAGAAAGAGAGGGTTTTGATGACATAGATAAAAAAGAAAAAATCCAAAATTCTTTTCAACATTTCTGTCTGCTTAGTGAATTGATTAAGAAGCTGCCTTGCTTAGGTTAATATTTTTTATTTGTTCATCTGGACTACACACAACTAAATTTTGTGTGGCAGGCAGTGCTGTGCTCCCAAGTAAAGCTGAGAAACCATCTTAGAGGCAAAACTATGCCATGATCAGAAAACCCTGGGAAGTGTGCACACCAAAATATTAAACATTGGTGATCTAGATAATGGAAGTATGGGTAACTGCTTTTTAATTTTCATTATGCTTTTTGTTTCTTTCCAAATTCTTAGCATTAAGCATGCATTAATTATGAAATTACAAAAATAAAGTTATTTTTTAAATAGACATATATACCCCCCTCCAAATACAATGCAAAGCAACCTGAATAATCTTCCCAGTAATAAAGAAGTTTTATGTCCAATTGGCATACATGATAATAACAAGACAAATGAAAATAGATGGGTATTTTACGTTAAATGAACTATAGGGGAGGGAGGAAGAAAGGTTAGGATATTACAGAGTAAAATATCTTCCAAATTGTCACCAAGGGATGGTAAAATTAGCACTAATTTTTAGAGAAACTATTCAGGTTCAAATCCCTGTTCTGCTATTAAGTATTTGTAAACTATTAACCTCTCAGTATTAGAATTTCTTCATCAGAAAAATGAGGATAATATATGCCAGGTTTCCCCTTATAGAAATAAACATAAGATATCAACTATGCAAATACTTCGTAAATAGAATAGGGTTATATACATATTAAAAAATTCATCTTTTTGTTATTAAATTTCCAAGGGCATTCTGTGGCTAGATGGTGAGGACAGAAGATTATCTGGCAATCCACTTGGTCCTCCAGAGAGTCTTCAAAGTAATAACAGAGTCTTGTAATAAAATTCACAGTAACCCTGACCCAGGAAAAAATTCCACATTGCTAAGACTCAAAGGACTGCAAGGATGCGTGTTTGCAACTATCCTTCCAAGTATTGCTATGAATGCAGTCATCAATTTCAACTTAAATTTCTCAAACGGAAACTTTGTCTCAAGTTTCCTACAGCAAATTCTAGCATGATTTGTAAACAAGAACTGACAAATTAGTAATTTAGGTTATTTAAGTGAATTGTATAAGAGTCTTATTTTTTATGTTATCATCTCTACAGGCTTAGGATTCCAAGTTGTTTTAAAGTGATTAATTCCCTAAGTACCACTTTTCAAAGACAGGTGATGTTTCCTCAAGAATTTATGCAAGTATCATGCTTGTACAAAAATACTAATAACTTACAAACTCATCAGATATACAAAAAGTCCAGTTCAAACACAAAATGAATATAACTTGAATCATATTTCTAATCACTCCTACCCTCATTTTTGCTGTTTCCTATGATTACAGAGAAACTCTTCTTTGGTATGGTGCCAAAAATAAAATATAATAAATCTCATCAGATAACGAGATTTCAGAATAACTAGGTGTTTGACAATACATAGAAAAATAGTTTGGATATGAAAATTGTCACTGCAGACAGGAGGAAAAGAAGAAAGACTGATGTTAATTTTCTCATTGGGAAGTTATTTGAATATTTTCAATGTGTTCTTCCACTTTCTTTAGACCAAAGACCTAAGAAGTAATTTTTATTCTCATGGTCATGCGAATTCTACTGCAGACAAAAATAAAAATCTGAAGTAAAAGGAAGCACAAAGTCTCATTAAATTCAGAACATTAGTGAGTGAACCCAATCACAAAACTGGACTCATTTTTTAATGTGAATGCATCAAAGTAATATAATAGACTAGAAGTGGTCCTCAAACTCATGCAGCTGAAATATCAACCCCATGCATTGTATTCATTGGAGTTATATTATGAAAGCATTGTATATTGAGACATATGAATATTACAAAACTAAAAGACTGTCTTCTGAATATACAAGTATGCTAAATTATTTCACTAATTCAACAAAGATCTATTAACTATTGAGTGGGAGAGACTAGTGTAATGAATAAGTGCAATGGTATGCATTGATAATTATGATCATTATATATCATTGAGCACCCATTATGCTTCACTCATCTATTCATTAGCTCATTTAACCAATTTTTATGCCATACATATGCTATGACTCTGTCTTAAGAATTGAATATTCAAGTATGAACAAAACATACATGCTGTCTATACTGTGGGGCTTACAGATCAGAACCCTGAAGGGTAACTTTAGCTAAAATCTGACAAGTGCAAAAAAACATTGAAAAGAAGAATGGCAAGTGACCAGTCATGTAAAACAGTGTGGCTAGAACATAACAAATGGGAGAATTGGTGGTATAAGATGAAGTTGGAAAGATAAGAAAGAGCCAGGCCATGTTGGATCATAGATTTTTATGAAGAATTTTAATGTTAACCATACCAGAAAGTCATTGAGGATATGTAAGCAAATGGCTAGCATTATTCAATTTTCAAAAGGATTGTTCTGGCTATCCCTTTGTTCTGAATAATAGATTAAAGAAATTGAATTAGAGGACTGCTGTAATGATTCAGCAAGGAATGATAGTGGCTTTGCTATGACTGGTGACAGTGGATATGGAAAGCAGACACAGATATATTTTCCAAGTAGAATCAGCTGGACTTGCTGATGGACTAGATGTGTGTAGTGTGGTAGAGAGCTGAATCAGGTTCTACTCCAAGGTTTCTAGTCTTACAACATAGTGCATTTTGATACCTTTGACAGAGATGGGATAGACTGATACATAAACAGGTGAGGGGCAGAAGAAAATTAATAATTTTCTGAAAATGTTAAATTTGAGATGCTTTTGAGACATCTAGGTACAGCTGACAAACAGGAAAGTGAATATATAAGGACAGACTTAGAGGAGAGATAGGGGTTAGAGATATTAATTGAGGGCCACTAATATATAAAATCTTTGCAATGCATACAATCACCTAGAAAGCAATATAACAAAGGTGGGGCTGAGAGGTAAGCCCCACTGAGAGGTCGTTTTGGAAAAGCAGCTAGGAAAAGTAGGCAACCCAAAAAGTAAGGAGAGAAAGTAAGAGCATGTGATACCAGGGGAGCCAAAAGAGAATGTTTTAGGTATTTTATATTTGAAGACAAAATGCATTCGGTATTTTATGCTTTAGGCGTTTTATATTCAAACACAAAATGCCCCTCAAAATGCATCTGATTCCCATGGAAGACATTATATTCTATTTGCACTGCATATTATGAAGATGTGTGACCTAATAGCTATGTCTATATGTGTGTCTGTGTGTGTGGCATATGTGCAGCAATAATTCTTATAGCAACCCTGAGATGTAGGTACAAGTTGAATATTACTTATTTAAAATGCTTGGGACCAGAAATGTTTGGGATTTCAAATTTTTTCAGATTTTGGAAAAGCTACATGATACTCATTGACTGAGCATCCCAGATCCAAAAATCTGAAATCTGAAATGCTCCAAAGAGTGCCGGGTGCTCTTCATAATTTGACTTGGATACACAATAGCTATACTTTCTTGATTTTAGTTATAAATCCCAGGCACCTGTAAGGTAGATTTTGAGATAAATTACAAGGAAGAACATGGAACTTATTTATTTAAAATGTTTATTTATTCTTACATGTTTAAACTTCAGTTATCTTCAAAGTACTCTTTGTTTAATGCAATACACCTATCGAGGTGCTTTTCCCACTGTTCAAAACAGTTTTTGAACTTGCCAAGTTTGATGCCTTTCAGGGCCTCTGCCGTTTTTTGTTTCACCTCTTCGACATCAGCAAAATGTTTTCCTTTGAAGACTGTTTCCATCCAGGGAAACAAACAAACAAAAAGCTGCTGGGGCTAGATTGGGTTAATAAAGAGGGTAGGGCACGGGGGTCATGCCATTTTTGGCCAAAAATTGCTGAATCCTCAGAGTGATGCTGGAGAAAATCATTCATCATGAAATGGGCAAACACGTTGAAAGAATCTCCAAAAGAACAAAATTCACTGAAGCGGAACTCCACCTCTTACAACAATGCAAGCTGGTATACTGATGCTGATGGATACCTAAAACATTTACCTAGTAGAGGAAGCCTGTGCTACAAGGGCCCACCCTCCAAAAGATAATTCCATTTTATTTTAGGTCCCCCCATTGTATGACATGGAAATGTGCCAGAATTTTTGCTACAAGTTAGCTTATTATAAGACTAACTGGTAAATCATCCCATATCCCATCAAAATATAAGAAATTAATAGAGCATAAACTTCAAATAGATCAGAGAGAATATATCAGATCTATCTGCATATCTATCACTCATTTGTCCAATAAATGTTTATAGAGTATAGTTATTCTAATCCAACATTCTTCTAGGCTGTGAGGATTTGGTTATGGACAAGGTAGACATAAGTTCACATCTCATGGATCATATAATCTAAGGGGATTTGTCAGACAATAAATGAAATAAGTAAGTAAAATATTGCATGCTACACAGTAAGGAGCACTAACAAACAAGGGCAGGAAAGCAATATAGAAAGTGCCAGATTATGTGGCAAACTTTGCGTAGCATGGTCAAAGAAGGATAAACTGAAAAAGTAATATTGGAGTAAATACCTAAAGGAATTAAAGGAGTGAATAATGCAAATTCAAAGACCCTAAGACATATAGTGATGTTTAGGGTGTTGAGGAACAGCAAAGAGGCTCCTGTGGCTGCAGTAGAGTTAAAACATGAAGAGGAGACTGAGTGATAGAGTGACATGTTGAGTCTGCTTAGACTTCAAAAGACTTTGACATGAGAATGCTTTTCTGGAAGGATTTCCAATAGAGGAGGACCACTCCTTTTGCTTAACAAGAAGGATCCAGAGGCAGAAACTGAGTGAGAAATTAGGAAACTATTGCAGTACTTCAGGT